CCATTTTGCAGACAAACAGTGATTTTGATGCAAAGCCAATGGTTATGCTCTTAGGTCAATATTCTACAGGGAAAACTACTTTCATCAAACATCTGCTAAAAACAAGCTATCCAGGTTATGTACTTCGCACATGTGTTTCCTGTAGTTTCCTGGTTTAATTTAATAACATACTATGAGACAAACTGACAATTAATTCGTCTGCTTTGCAATTTTGCAGGTGCCCATATTGGACCGGAGCCGACAACCGACAGATTTGTTGTTGTCATGGTAAACTTCAGAGAGTCTTAAATCTTCTATTTGTAGGAATGCTAGGTGGACCAAAAAAAATATTACCCCAGATATGATTTGTGAAAGGAAGTTTATTGAAAAATATAACTGGAAGACTTTTATGCCCAACACATGGTTTTGTAGAGCTCTACAACTCTTCATGCATTAGTGTCTGATTTCTGTTATATTCTTACCCGACCATTGATTGTATGTCGGATTGTTCGTGGCTTGTGATGCTACTTACCTAGCTTATCTATTTGGCACAATGCTTCATTGATTAGCATTCTGCACCTGCTTTTGTGAAACTTTTCTCTGGATCACCGAGCTAGAATTATTGTTTAGAGTATGTCATTGATAATGGCTGCTGGTTTCTCAAGGCTTTGTTAGCTAGTGTACAAGAAGTGTAAACATGTGCCCAGTAGTCAAGATTAACTTCAGGCCCTTCTCTTCTAGATTTTGTACTTATTCCTGCTTGTGGAGATTGTAGGTGAGGTTAAATTGCTATGGACACTATTGATTCATTTTTTCAGTTGTTGCAACTTATATTAGATGCTGGTGCAATTTAAACAGAATTGACCACATGTCCACATCCCAGATAGTATATTAATGTACAGTGCTTTACTTATGTTTCTCCCTGTAGTTTCTTCAGTAGTCCTGTTAATTTTCTTCCTCTTACCAGTCAGGACCTGATGAAAGGACTATCCCTGGAAATACTTTAGCTGTTCAAGCAGATATGCCTTTTAGTGGTCTCACAACATTTGGGACTTCGTTTTTGTCCAAGTTTGAATGCTCTCAGATGCCACATCCAGTAAGCTTTTATTTTTATGCATGTAGAAGGCACATGGTTATCTGGACACTGATACCTAACTTGTACCTTGAAGCTACTAGAGCATATCACGTTTGTAGACACACCTGGTGTTCTTTCTGGTGAAAAGCAACGGACACAACGTAGCTATGAATTCACAGGTGTTACATCATGGTTTGCTGCCAAGTGTGACCTTATCCTGCTTCTGTTTGATCCTCATAAGCTTGATATCAGCGATGAGTTTAAACGTGTCATCGGATCTTTACGTGGACATGATGACAAAATACGTGTAGTTCTAAACAAGGCCGACCAAATTGACACTCAACAGGTAGTTATTCATTGTTCTCTCTGCATGACCTGTGTTGTTTATTGCTTTATTTTCTGTACATAACAGTTTTTTACCTGCAGCTTATGAGAGTTTATGGTGCACTTATGTGGTCTCTTGGTAAAGTATTGAATACCCCTGAGGTGTCGCGCGTTTATATTGGGTAACCACCCATGCCCTCATTTACTTTGTTCCACTCATATAGTCAAATGTATTGTAGTTTGCTACATATTACTCTCGACTTATAATCTTGTCAAAACTCTAGATTGAATATTACTATAAGTCTCATAGATGTACTTTTTTTTTTATCTCAGTGGAGTGTTTAGCATACTTCGAATCGCTTAAGCAAAAATATCTGAATCTTGTGTATGTAAATGGTAATGACTGTTTCAATCCAGCATATTGAAACAATAAACTCACTTTAGGAATCGACATGCAGATCGTTCAATGATAAACCAGTAAAGGAATCAGCTGTTGGCCCGATCGGAAAGGAACTATTTGAGAAAGAGCAGGATGATCTCCTTTCTGATCTAAAAGATATACCAAAGAAAGCTTGTGACCGCAGGGTAAGTTTTTTCACCGTTTGTGTTCTTTTTAAGTCCCGGTCTCCTGTTTTTTTTTTCCGCCACAGTTAACACATTGATATATATGTACAGATCAATGAATTCGTCAAACGTGCTAGAGCTGCCAAGATACATGCTTATATAATTGGGCATCTAAAGAATCAGATGCCTACGATGATGGGCAAAGCTAAAGCCCAGCAGAAACTTATCGACAATTTGGAGGGCGAGTTTGCAAAGGTGTGTATTTTGTTCGTCTCTCTTAACTTTGTAGCCAGTCCACAACTGTTGCACATTGTAAGGACATGATGACCCTTGCTTCTGTTAAGATGGAGCCCTATGTTTATGAGTTCATAGCAGATGTTCTTAGTCTTGGCCCAGGTGTTTAGTTTTGGTATATGGGCATCACACAGTGTTACTAAATACTACTCCCTCCGTCCGGAAATACTTGTCATCAAAATGAATAAAAGGAGATGTATCTAGAGTTCTAGACGTATTTTAGTTCTAGATACATCCCTTATTATCCATTTTGATGACAAGTATTTCCGGACGGAGGGAGTACTTGCCAAACCACCACTGGCTTTAGAATTGCAGTTTTAACTTGCAATAAGAGCTGATTGCAGTTTGCTGACTGTCTGAACTTCTGCTTCTACACACTTCCTTCACTATTAATATTAACGCTGAACTAATAATAACTGATATCTGTTGGAACAGGTGCAAAGGGAACACCATCTCCCCGCGGGGGATTTCCCTTACGTGGAGCACTTCAGAGAAGCATTGGGCGGGTACAGCATCGACAGGTTCGAGAAGGTGAAGCCCAAGATGATCCAGGCGGTGGACGACATGCTCGGGTACGACATCCCGGAGCTGCTCAAGAACTTCAGGAACCCTTACGAGTGAGCAAATATCATGATCGGAAGACGGCTTTGGTTCGCAGTTCGACATGTCAGGCGTGGATGGCGGTGGCTTGCCCATAGGGTTTTGGCTGCCAGTGTAGTAGGGTGTTTATTGCTACTACACTGTACCCATTGTTGTATTATAACTGTATTATGCATAATACGAGCCAGAAGCAATTGCTCAGTTGTTCGCTGGAGAACGGCCTTATTGTAATGGCATGGAAGTCGGAATATGGGATGGTGGTTGCATTTATCCTTCAGATGATCATCTATTCGTTCCGAGGAACAGCTTGAATGAATGCTTGGTGGTGCGATCCAGTGAATAATACTGGACCACCTCGTGTGTGCCGTGTGGGAGCCTTATGTGGGAGAGGCCTTTTCTGATTAGTAGAGCCCCTGTCTGGCTCCATGTGGAAGTGGTATTAATTTCACTTTGGTGGATTAGGGCATGGCCAATGGTCCAGTTTGGACACATGCCCCATGATTCCACGTTGGATGAATGCCGCCGTGGAAAAAATTGGTAGAAAAGACTATAGCTTGCAGAGGCTTGGTGTAGCTTGCAGGGGAGCTAGCTTCTTCAGCCAAAAAGTGTGGTCCTCCATGAGAGAAAGGGAAGGGAGAGAATGTGCTGTGAGGAAAAATCGATCTACATGCAAATAAAGTTGATGACAGGAGAGTCATCATGGGACCTAGTAAAATACATGAGACCACCCCATGCGTTGTGTAACTTTTGTAATGCATGTAGCTTCAGATTTTCTTTATCCTGTTGGCAGATGGGGCAGTAGCAGGGTACTGCCTCCATTGTACATGCCCTTAGAGATCACCTTCTCATGTGTACAATCTGGGGCCATACCTGTCTCTCCCTCTGCGTGGGGGCTGGTTGGTGATTACTATCTATAAATAAATAGCGATGCAGAAATGCCATTCGCGTCCACTCAAATAAAAAGAAATGTCATTCGTGGTCGTCGAGGTTAAAATGCAGCTTCATGTTCGGGGGTGTCTGTTTGGCACACTGTTTTTCGTTTTGCCAACGGGCATGTCTGAACCATAGGATAAGGATCCGATGGCCCGGGCTGTTTCCCTCATCCTCATACTCAGCACACCCCTCTCTTTCTCTCCCCTCTGCCTGACATGTGGAGGGGGCAAGGGCACAACCAGGCTGCATTCCAAAGTCAAAAGAATGATTGTCCTGCCAAAATAAAATAGCAATATTGTTCTGCGCTCCATGTCGATCTCGCCACTGCCACTCGTCATCAAGAACAAAAAAAAAAGAGTACTAGGAAATTTTAGGCGAGGAGCTTGGACCAAGAAAAAAAAACCCTGGACCAAACAAAATCGCCTATAGCTGGCGAGTCTGTTGTATTTTATCTGAAAACAATGGTAAACCAGCAGCAAGGAGTCGTAAGCGAGTCGCCCAAACCGACACTACGCTTTCTGCTCGCAAGTCAAACACGGTTGGCACCGGCAGCCTGTCACAGACCAGGAGCCCTACCCGCGCCGACCCAGCTGCAGCCGCGTCAATCATTGTAAACGTTCGGCTATAAAATAATTTTAAACGCTACTGGAAAGAAAACATAGTGCCAAAATAATTTTGCCAAATTTTAAGTTTGCCAACCACATGTCCCATGCGGTGCCAAAAAATATACAGTATATAAATGATAAGGAAATAATGTAATAACTCGTACTCCTGTACAAAGTATAGAGAAAGAGAAAAAAAAAGCAGAGATAGAAAAAAACTAGGTGGAAAAGACAAGGACGCCGCCCGCCGAACACGCGCGGAAACGCTGACGACCCGCCGGCCCGGTCCGGCCCGACCCCTTCCGCCCGGTTTCCCCTCCCCGTCCAACCCCAACCCCGACCCGACGCGCTCGGGCTCGGCCTCCCTCACGCCTCCGTCCCCGTCCGGCACCAAACCCATCCCATCCCCTCCCCTCCTCCTCCCTTTTCCACACTGACCAACGATAGCCAGGCCACCGCACCCGCAGTTTCGTGCACCGCACTTCTCCACCCACCACCTACCTCCCCCCGTGTTCCCCTCCCCCCTCAAAACCTATCGCCGCAGACCATCCACCCACCGACGAGCGATCGCCACGGCCGATTGATCCACAGCGCGGGGCGGTGGCGCACCAGATCCGGCCGCGGCGGCGATGATGAAGCAGCTGCTGCCGCAGAGCCAGCTGCGGCGCTCGGCGGCGGCGTCGGCGGCGCGCTCCTCGGGGGGCGGCGTCGGGGCCGAGGGCGCGGGTGGGCCCGACGGCGTCGGCGCGGGCGCGGGGGCGGGCGGGCGGACCGCCTCCTCCTCCACCTTCTGGTTCCTGCTCCACGCGTTCTGCTGCCTCATCTCGCTCTTCCTCGGCTTCCGCTTCTCCAGGCTGCTCTTCTTCCTGCTCTTCTCCAGCAGCGCGCTCTACGCCGCCACCTCCAACAACAAGTCGGCCGTGCTCCGCGCCATCACGACAACCACGACGACGACCACGACGACCACAACCACGACCAACACCTTCACCCTCTCCTTCGCCGCCGCGGGCAACCCGCCCCCGTCCAACCCGGACAACCTCACCGCCGCCGCGCTCGAGGAGGCCGCGGGGAGCACGCAGAGCCACGTGGTGGTCGGCCGCCACGGGATTCGGATCCGCCCCTGGCCGCACCCCGACCCCGTCGAGGTCATGCGCGCGCACCGGATCATGGAGCGCGTGCAGGAGGAGCAGCGCCGCTGGTACGGCGTCAGGGAGGCGCGCCCGGTGCTCGTCGTCACCCCGACCTACTCGCGCGCCTTCCAGGCGCTCCACCTCACCGGCCTCCTCCACTCGCTCCGCAACGTGCCCTACCCGCTCACCTGGATCGTCGTCGAGGCCGGCGGCGTCACCAACGCCACCGCCTCCATGCTTGCGCGCTCCAACCTCACCTTCGTCCACGTTCCATTCCCGGAAAAAATGCCCCTCGAATGGGCCGACCGCCACGCCACTGAGAACCGCATGCGCCTCCACGCCCTACGGTATGCACCTCCTACTCAATCCACATAGCCTGCCTACCTGTAACAGAGGATGATTGGTTTGCTCCTGTCATTTAGGGTGATCCGGGAGAGGAAGATGGACGGTGTAGTTGTGTTTGCCGATGACAGCAACGTGCATAGCATGGAGCTGTTCGATGAGGTGCAGAAGGTCCAGTGGATGGCCGCAGTGTCTGTGGGTATCCTTGCGCACACCGGAACAGCAGAGCAGCCACGCCTTACCGAAGAGGACAAGAAGAACATGCCACTTCCAGTCCAGGGTCCTGCCTGCAACTCTTCCGGGCATTTGGCTGGATGGCACACATTCAACACGTTGCCGTTCTCTGGGAAGACCGCCACGGTGGTTGGCGAGGCAGCGCCTGTGCTACCGAAGGGTTTGGAGTGGGCTGGGTTTGTGATGAACTCGAGAATGCTGTGGAAGGAGGCAGAGGGCAAGCCTGATTGGGTGAAGGATCTTGATGCTGTGGGGGAGAATGGGGAGGAGATTGAAAATCCTCTTACTCTCTTGAACGATGCGTCCTATGTTGAACCGTTGGGCAACTGTGGGAAGAAGGTCCTACTTTGGTGGCTCCGTGTTGAAGCCCGGGCCGACAGCAAGTTTCCACAAGGGTAAGATTTTGTTTTAGACCCTGTTTCTGTTATGTGTTGCTGGTCATTTTAATTTTCCTGTTTCTTATCAGAAAGTATTATGATGTTCTATAGGACACTTCACCTTTTGTCCAATACGTTAAACACCTCATGCAACCACAGATCATAGAGAACCCTTTCTGTCAGTTAGGCCTGACCAGACTTGGTAGTTACAAGCCCAGTCTCACTATTTGAAGGGTACACCATGAAAACATGACCTAAGCCAACTATTTTGCAGTTGCCATGGAACTTAAACGTCAATGTATGTTTGATCCAGCAATAGAACGGCCATTTCCAGGGGCACAGCCACCACGCACCTCCGGCATGGGCACTTGCTGGTGGCCGTCTCAGGAATGTATGAGGGATTTGTTTTTCAGGGCTGCTAGGTCCAGCCCACAAGGGGCAGCTGATCAAGCCCGTGTGATGTGCTTGATTGTTGAATTTATTTTAAGAATTGTCATATATATATATATATATATATACCACTGTATCGTGGACACCCAGATAGTTAATCCTGCTGTATCGCCCCGGCTCCAAAAGTTCCCTGGCTCCAATACTGCCCATATTTAGTATGGTTATGTTGGGCTGAGTGGTGTCAGATTTCGTTACATGTGATTTTCTAAATGAATAATCTTAAAAAACCCAGTTTAGAATAGCCAATATTGCCCACCCTCTAGCCTGTCTCGGCTAACAGCGTGTTTGGCAATATTTGGGAAGGGGAATGGGAGTTTAGTCTAGGGAGTTGTATTGAGATTAGACATGGGATGGGTCGTTTTATTCCCAATCCCCTGTTTTGGCGCATGGTAGGAATTATGTGTGAGAATTTGAGGAAAATTTATATTCCCTTGTTTGGTTCATGGGAATTGACGAGGGACTAGACCAGGGAAGTGAACATAAGTTATGATGAAGGGTTAAGATTGACTCACAAACAATCCCCTCCCAACTCCCACCCCCTCCCCTGTTAATAAAACTGTGGGAGTTGGAGTCTCAAGTCCCATGCCTATTCCTTTATAAATTCCCAATCCCCCTAACCAAACAATAGATTTGAAGTCTCCTACCCTTTTAATTCCCATTACCTCACACTAATTACCCCCAACCAAAGAGTTCCATTCTGGTCTAGGATTTTTTAGTGTTGTGCTTGTAGTACTGTTAAAGTAATCTTTGGGATGTGAGCGCTATAGGCCTATGATAGTTTTGCTTGGTTTTCCTTTTCATACTAGTTTCAGAAAGGAACTTGATTCTGGTATACACTTTGACACACATTTACAATCTGCACGCATTAGAGCCAGCATAAAATTAAGTAGGAGTATTTCGTAGCTGCAATATCTGTCTATTTTTATGTAAATATTTGAGATTGACCTCTTACACGGGCATGGTGCCATATGGCAACATTAGAACAAAGAATGTTTGAATATATCATTGTTAACATAAGTGTTAAATTTTAGACCCTGCGTTGTCATGTAGTTTAGCATCGTCAAATTGAATGGTTTAACCGTTTAAGAACATTTCCTTAAAATAGTTAGGCGGAAGAAAAAGACCCATTCCTCGTGTTAGTCTTGGTCTCCAAAACCATGTGCCATAGAGAGCCCTCGTGAGAGACTTGAGGAATAAAAGGTCTTGAGAAAAACTCTGGATTTCACTGCAGTCAAATATAAGATTCTGCTAACCTATCAACTCTGATTATCAGATTTGTTTTCTTAGGTTTTTCCTTCTCTTGTCTTCTGAATTAAGCATGCTCAATTTTCTTCTTCCTTAGGCTGTAATAACCTAAGTTGAAATTATCCATTTTTAGGCTGTAATAACTTAAATTCTTCTTTTGCAGGTGGGTGATTGAGCCACCTTTGGAAGTTGTTGTTCCCGCCAAGCGCACACCATGGCCAGAAACCACCATGGATGTCTCATCGGAGATGTTAGACGCCAAGCAAGAGCAGGAGGACAGGCAGCTGCCAAGGACCAACAACAGGTCAGCTCGGCCCCGAAGCACCACCACGAAACGGAAGGGCGACGTCCACAACTGAGGCAGGATAAACAAACCATGTAATGTACATCTCACATCACCTTACACCCGCGGTATCTGCAATAGGAGGCATGTCCAGTCGATCTAGTGGGTATTGTGTTTATTTTTTTGTTTCCTGATGTTTTGCTCTGGTGGCAACGACGACGACGCTCTCGTGCTGGGATATGTCTTCCTAGAAGACCGTTTCGTTATCTGTAGCTCTACCTGTTGTGCTGTAATATAACACCGCAGTTGTTGTCTCAAGAAAATGGTGTCTGAATTCTGGATGACCTATACGCATGTCGACTCTGAAGTATTGTGTGATCAGTGTTTTCAGGCATAGTTTCCCTTTCAGGCTGCAAGTGGGACTGTCCGCGGGAAGCCCGCATCCGCCCAACATCTGCCACATAATATAGGTGGAAAGCCCGCGCCCAACATCTGCCACATAATATAGGTGGAAAGCCCGCATCTGCTTGCATATTTTTACACGGGATAAGTGGGTTTAGCGGGTAACGCACCTCCCACCAACATGACTGGAAATGAATGTTCATGCGCTCAAATAGCAGCCAAGTACGAGCGCGTACAGGCACGTTAGGCAGCATATACAAATATTCAATTGTTCATGTTCATGCGTATACTGAATAGTGATTGTTGAACACGAGGTCTTCTGGTGCCGGCGAGCATCGGCAAGTTACCTGAAGCTGGACATCATGCACTGTCAAAACATGGATCTGGTGTACTTAAAGTTGTCGCCGCCCACACGGCTGTGGAAGATGGATGGACGGGTAGAGAATGAGTAAATGACTGATCAACCAGAGAGATGGATGTGTGTCCCTGCTTGTGGATGGCACCAGACAAACGCGGGGCTTTTTTCAAGATCGTGATGATAGCAAAGATGCGTCGTCCATGGCGAAGCTGGGCGGCCTTGACGGAGCTGGGCTGCGACATTGCGGCGGCATCCATGGCGGACTGGGACAGACCATGACAGAATCGGACGATGGCGACGCTGTGGCGGCGTCCGTGGCGGCTATGGCGGAGTTGGAAGACGGCGTTGTGGTCATGCACGGCGGCGGCCCCTGATTCGAGGAAGTGAGAAGGAAGTGGGCTCGCGGGCGCCGCAGGACAAACCCACCTATCCCACATATCCAGTCGCTCTATCCGTGGGTGTCCACGAACACGGATTATGTGGGCTTTTACGTGGGCACCGTGGGCAGCCCACGTCCACTTGCAGCCTGACTTCCCACCTATCCCACATATCCAGTCGCTCTATCCTTGGGTGTCCACGAACACGGATTATGTGGGCTTTTACGTGGGTACCGCGGGCAGCCCGCGTCCACTTGCAGCCTGACTTCCCTTCCTTTGGGGGTTGTGCTGAAATCGTGATGTTTTTTTGTTTTTATCTTTATCAAATGTAAGTATTTAAAATCTACTCCCTCCGTTTCTAAATATAAGTCTTTTTATACATATCAAATGGAGTACAACATATGAATGTATGTAGACATATTTTAGAGCGTAGATTCACTCATTTTGCTTTGTACTCCCTCCGTCCGAAAATACTTGTCATCAAAATGAATAAAAGGTGATGTATCTCGAACTAAAATATGTTACATACATCCTCTTTTATCCATTTTGATGACAAGTATTTCGGGATGGAGGGAGTATGTAGTCACTTGTTCAAATCTCTAAAAAAACCTATATTTAGGAACAGAGGGAGTATGTTTTTTTACAGTATGTTATCAATGATCCCTGTGTTGGAGTTGTGTCGAATATAGTGTACGAGGTAGGTTACAGTTGGACTTATAGTTGTATTGTGTTTAGATAGGATATAGAGTCGTGTCCTAGTAGGACACTTGTATCCTAGGCCTCTCATATATAGCGGGGCTAGACACACGTTGTAACCTATGCCAGCATAATAGCACATGCGCGCAAGGGGGAGCCGGCGGCGTGTGCCGGCGCCCGGGTGGTCGTTGTGCGGTATTGTGACGGTGTCATGGGGAGGAGCGCCCATAGTCAAGCCCCGGGGATGTAGCCAGTGGCGGAGCTTAGTGCAAGCAAAACCAGGCTATGGCCCGCCCAGCTTTGCTACAAACCAATGTGCCTGAAGAGTGAAATGGGCATGGATGGAAAAAAACGATCTGCTTTTTCTAAGCTGGCCCGCCCAATCATTTCATTCTAGCTCCGTCACTGGATGTAGCCATATCGGTGAACCTCGTTAACAAATCTCGGTGTCGTGCTCGTGTGATTGCTTGGTCTTCGAATGATCGACGGTATGCCTCGGATTTATTCTAACAAATGGTATCAGAGCAAGGTTACGGAAGGTCGATGTGCGTTGATTTAGAGTAAGATTGCCGTTGACTTCGTCACGGAGATGAAGTGCAGAAGATTAGTCTTCGGCCGAAGCTACTGCTCGGATGGGAAGCAAGTTTTCCATGAAAGTCATCTTGTACCGCGGTCATCGGTGAGTATTGGAAGCATCGCGGCGGAAGGATCGCGATCGGCTGGTTGGCAGCTGACGTAGCGGCAACCCTAGGCAGCGCATACGAAGAGTACGGGCTGGCCCAGGCGGGGCTCGCAGGTACACGCGGCCAGGCATGGAAAAGCTGGCTAGGCAATTGGCACGCTGCGTGGAACGGTTGCAGTGCAGATCCGATCGAGTGCTTACGAGATTTGTTTGAAAAAAAAGGAGGACCAGGTCCTCGTGTACGGCACAGATGGAGGCAACAGATCAAATCAGCAGATGAAATCCATTGGTTGATACGCATACATCAGAAAGCACGCACATGGCAAAGCAATAGCAGCATCGGGAGTTGAGCTAGAGCAACTATACGTTGAAAGATCGTGGATGTCGCCTAGAGGGGGGGGGGTGAATAGGCGTTTTAAAATAATTACGGTTTAGGCTTGAACAAATGCGGAATAAACCTAGCGGTTAATTTGTCAAGCACAAAACCTAAAACAACTAGGCTCGCCTATGTGCACCAACAACTTATGCTAAGCAATATAAGCAACTATGTGATAGCAAGATATGTGACAAAGACCAATATGGCT